GAGAGCGTTCACAGAGAGAGAGCGTTCACAGAGAGAGAGAGCGTTCACAGAGAGAGCGTTCACAGAGAGAGCGTTCACAGAGAGAGCGTTCACAGAGAGAGCGTTCACAGAGAGAGTCAGAAACGAGGAGAGAGCGTTCACAGAGAGAGAGAGCGTTCACAGAGAGAGCGTTCACAGAGAGAGCGTTCACAGAGAGAGCGTTCACAGAGAGAGCGTTCACAGAGAGAGCGTTCACAGAGAGAGCGTTCACAGAGAGAGCGTTCACAGAGAGAGCGTTCACAGAGAGAGAGAGCGTTCACAGAGAGAGCGTTCACAGAGAGAGAGAGCGTTCACAGAGAGAGCGTTCACAGAGAGAGCGTTCACAGAGAGAGAGAGCGTTCACAGAGAGAGAGAGCGTTCACAGAGAGAGCGAGAGCGTTCACAGAGAGAGCGAGAGCGTTCACAGAGAGAGTCAGAAACGAGGAGAGAGCGTTCACAGAGAGAGTCAGAAACGAGGAGAGAGCGTTCACAGAGAGAGAGAGCGTTCACAGAGAGAGCGTTCACAGAGAGAGCGTTCACAGAGAGAGAGAGCGTTCACAGAGAGAGCGTTCACAGAGAGAGCGTTCACAGAGAGAGCGTTCACAGAGAGAGCGTTCACAGAGAGAGAGAGCGTTCACAGAGAGAGCGTTCACAGAGAGAGCGTTCACAGAGAGAGAGCGTTCACAGAGAGAGAGCGTTCACAGAGAGAGAGAGCGTTCACAGAGAGAGAGAGCGTTCACAGAGAGAGAGAGCGTTCACAGAGAGAGAGAGCGTTCACAGAGAGAGAGAGCGTTCACAAAGTGAGAGAGCGTTCACAGAGAGAGCGTTCACAGAGAGAGAGAGCGTTCACAGAGAGAGAGAGCGTTCACAGAGAGAGAGAGCGTTCACAGAGAGAGCGTTCACAGAGAGAGAGAGCGTTCACAGAGAGAGAGCGTTCACAGAGAGAGCGTTCACAGAGAGAGCGAGAGCGTTCACAGAGAGAGCGTTCACAGAGAGAGCGACGTTCAGCTGCTCACACTCTATTGAGCAGTGAACAATAAACATTATCACAAAGGAAAGATGCACTGAATATACCAAGTTTTAGCAAAGACGCTCATTTCCACTGTACGGCTCCTGCTCTGGACCAGAACATACCGAGAGGAGTGTGTGTGTGCTGCTCTGGACCAGAACATACCGAGAGGAGTGTGTGTGTGCTGCTCTGGACCAGAACATACCGAGAGGAGTGTGTGTGTGCTGCTCTGGACCAGAACATACCGAGAGGAGTGTGTGTGTGCTGCTCTGGACCAGAAACATACCGAGAGGAGTGTGTGTGTGCTGCTCTGGACCAGAACATACCGAGAGGAGTGTGTGTGTGCTGCTCTGGACCAGAACATACCGAGAGGAGTGTGTGTGTGCTGCTCTGGACCAGAACATACCGAGAGGAGTGTGTGTGTGCTGCTCTGGACCAGAACATACCGAGAGGAGTGTGTGTGTGCTGCTCTGGACCAGAACATACCGAGAGGAGTGTGTGTGTGCTGCTCTGGACCAGAACATACCGAGAGGAGTGTGTGTGTGCTGCTCTGGACCAGAACATACCGAGAGGAGTGTGTGTGTGCTGCTCTGGACCAGAACATACCGAGAGGAGTGTGTGTGTGCTGCTCTGGACCAGAACATACCGAGAGGAGTGTGTGTGTGCTGCTCTGGACCAGAACATACCGAGAGGAGTGTGTGTGTGCTGCTCTGGACCAGAACATACCGAGAGGAGTGTGTGTGTGCTGCTCTGGACCAGAACATACCGAGAGGAGTGTGTGTGTGCTGCTCTGGACCAGAACATACCGAGAGGAGTGTGTGTGTGCTGCTCTGGACCAGAACATACCGAGAGGAGTGTGTGTGTGCTGCTCTGGACCAGAACATACCGAGAGGAGTGTGTGTGTGCTGCTCTGGACCAGAACATACCGAGAGGAGTGTGTGTGTGCTGCTCTGGACCAGAACATACCGAGAGGAGTGTGTGTGTGCTGCTCTGGACCAGAACATACCGAGAGGAGTGTGTGTGTGCTGCTCTGGACCAGAACATACCGAGAGGAGTGTGTGTGTGCTGCTCTGGACCAGAACATACCGAGAGGAGTGTGTGTGTGCTGCTCTGGACCAGAACATACCGAGAGGAGTGTGTGTGTGCTGCTCTGGACCAGAACATACCGAGAGGAGTGTGTGTGTGCTGCTCTGGACCAGAACATACCGAGAGGAGTGTGTGTGTGCTGCTCTGGACCAGAACATACCGAGAGGAGTGTGTGTGTGCTGCTCTGGACCAGAACATACCGAGAGGAGTGTGTGTGTGCTGCTCTGGACCAGAACATACCGAGAGGAGTGTGTGTGTGCTGCTCTGGACCAGAACATACCGAGAGGAGTGTGTGTGTGCTGCTCTGGACCAGAACATACCGAGAGGAGTGTGTGTGTGCTGCTCTGGACCAGAACATACCGAGAGGAGTGTGTGTGTGCTGCTCTGGACCAGAACATACCGAGAGGAGTGTGTGTGTGCTGCTCTGGACCAGAACATACCGAGAGGAGTGTGTGTGTGCTGCTCTGGACCAGAACATACCGAGAGGAGTGTGTGTGTGCTGCTCTGGACCAGAACATACCGAGAGGAGTGTGTGTGTGCTGCTCTGGACCAGAACATACCGAGAGGAGTGTGTGTGTGTGCTGCTCTGGACCAGAACATACCGAGAGGAGTGTGTGTGTGCTGCTCTGGACCAGAACATACCGAGAGGAGTGTGTGTGTGCTGCTCTGGACCAGAACATACCGAGAGGAGTGTGTGTGTGCTGCTCTGGACTCAGCTGTTTACTCCTGATGTACAAACAGAACAAATATGATAAAAGCTTTGGCCAACAGTGTGTGCCCAGCTTCACTGCGAGGGCTCTGGCTTTTGGGGAAGCACAAAAAGCCTTTTTTCAGACTCTGAAACAGTCTGAGTGTACGCAGACGATGACAGAAACACAATGGGAAGAATAACGCCAACAAAAAAGTCCACCAGCTCCTTTATCGCCCACAAAGAACATATTTATGAGTCTCTCCGTCTAACCCTAACCCAGTTTTTTACCCGTGTCAATGGCGCAAATCCAGACCTTAGTATGAATTGAAATGAGTACTATGGTGTGGTACGACCAAGCTAGGGTTACTACTTACATCTTGTTTTAATGCAAATTTCTTACAACGTATTATTATTTACTTCCGTATTTGTAATCAAGTGGATTCCAGTCGCTAACTTGTCACTCTGCCGAAACACTGAATATGTTGATGTGTATAAAAAATAATGAATCCTGAGAAAAACATTGTAAATTAGCCTCCGACATCCTGACAGTTCCATGTGGCCCTTCAGAGAGGTTTTCCCCGCTCTGTTCTCGCCCGACCAGGCAGATCCACACGATTAAACAATACTTTCTGCTTCACATCTGTCTGAAAGTTGAAGGTGGAGCTGCAGATCTTTTCCATTGAGCACATTTGCATTTCTAAAATATTAAAATGATCCTAATCACCTCCAGAATCTTTTGTGTTTGGCTCTGCTGTCAATAAACCAGACTCCATGTTACAGCTGCAGGATTATTGTTATTATTATGGATTATTATTACTCTCATTGTCTCATAAAGGCTGAAAAGGCAGCAACTCTCCAAACTGGTCTCAAATGTGAAGCCGGCGTTACGTACCGTTGAGGTTGAGGAATGAGTGGTTGTCGTGCGACTCAAGAAAAAATCTGCTCTTTCTGTTTTTCAGTCCATTTGAAGCTCCACATTTCCTGCCACACCGTCCGGTCCAATAAAACCTGTAAGTAAGTAAGTTATAGGGGAGAACATGCAAACTCCACTCAGAAAGGCCCTGTTCCGACCGGGATTCGAAGCCAGGACATTCTAACCACTAGCTAACCACTCAGCCACTGTGTCGCCAAATACAAAAAACAGACACACAACCATCAACAACAATACAGTCCTTCCCCCAGAAAAGTAAGAGTACATTTACATTATGAATATATATCAATACTATGGTGCGGCTTATACTATGGTGCGGCTTATACTATGGTGCGGCTTATACTATGGTGCGGCTTATACTATGGTGCAGTTTATACTATGGTGCGGTTTATACTATGGTGCAGTTTATACTATGGTGCGGCTTATACTATGGTGCGGCTTATACTATGGTGCGGCTTATACTATGGTGCAGCTAATACTATGGTGCAGCTTATACTGTGGTGCAGTTTATACTATGGTGCGGTGTATACTATGGTGCAGCTAATACTATGGTGCAGCTAATACTATGGTGCAGCTAATACTATGGTGCAGCTAATACTATGGTGCGGCTAATACTATGGTGCAGAAAATACTATGGTGCAGCAAATACTATGGTGCAGCTAATACTATGGTGCAGCTAATACTATGGTGCGGCTAATACTATGGTGCAGAAAATACTATGGTGCAGCAAATACTATGGTGCGGCTTATACTATGGTGCAGCTAATACTATGGTGCAGTTTATACTATGGTGCAGTTTATACTATGGTGCGGTTTATACTATGGTGTGGTTTATACTATGGTGCAGCTAATACTATGGTGCAGCTAATACTATGGTGCAGCTAATACTATGGTGCAGCTAATACTATGGTGCAGCTAATACTATGGTGCGGCTGATACTATGGTTCAGCTAATACTATGGTGCAGCTAATACTATGGTGCAGCTAATACTATGGTGCAGCTAATACTATGGTGCGGCTAATACTATGGTGCAGAAAATACTATGGTGCAGCAAATACTATGGTGCGGCTAATACTATGGTGCGGCTAATACTATGGTGCAGCAAATACTATGGTGCAGCAAATACTATGGTGCAGCAAATACTATGGTGCAGCAAATACTATGGTGCGGCTTATACTATGGTGCAGCTAAGAATACTGTAAATGTGAAAAATCAAAGGGTTAAAAATCAAACTATAAAATGTGTGGTGTGTTCTTCATGCGGACCATGGCAACAGCAGGTCTCTCTAATGATGCAACTGGTGTTTGTGAAGAGGACGACCCCTGGGGACCAGGTGAACACAGCTCTGCAAACCCTTGGGACTAGTTACCAAAGACACAAGATCCCCCTACTCACAGCTGCACCTGCTGCTACACGCTCCCTGGTCTCTCTCTGGTCTCTCTCTGGTCTCTCGCTGGTCTCTCTCTGTTCTCTCGCTGGTCTCTCTCTGTTCTCTCTCTGGTCTCTCTCTCTAGTCTCTCTCTGGTCTCTCTTTCTGGTGTCGCTCTGGTCTCTCTCTGCTCTCTCTCTCTGGTCTCTCTCTGGTGTCCCTCTGGTCTTTGGTCTCTCTCTCTGGTCTCTCTCTCTGCTCTCTAGTGTCTCTCTGGTCCCTCTCTGGTCTCTCTCTGGTCTCTTTCTGGTCTCTCTCTCTGGTCTCTCCATGGTGTCTCTCTCTAGTCTCTCTCTACTCACTCTCTGGTCTCTCTCTTCTCTCTCTCTGTTCTCTCTCTGGTCTCTCTCTAATCTCTCTTTCTGGTGTCTCTCTGGTGTCTCTCTGGTCTCTCTCTGGTCTCCCTCTGGTCTTTGGTCTCTCTCTCTGGTCTATCTCTCTGGTCTCTCTCTCTGCTCTCTATCTCTCTAGTCTCTCTCTGGTCTCTCTCTGGTCTCTCTTTCTGGTCTCTCTCTTCTCCCTCTCTGGTCTCTCTCCGGTCTCTCTCTGGTCTCTCTCTGGTCTCTCTCTCTGGTCTCTCTCCGGTCTCTCTCTGGTCTCTCTCTCTGGTCTCTCTCTGGTCTCTCTCTCTGGTCTCGCTCTGGTCTCTCTCCGGTCTCTCTCTGGTCTCTCTCTCTGGTCTCTCTCTGGTCTCTCTCTCTGGTCTCTCTCCGGTCTCTCTCTGGTCTCTCTCTCTGGTCTCTCTCCGGTCTCTCTCTGGTCTCTCTCTCTGGTCTCTCTCTGGTCTCTCTCTCTGGTCTCGCTCTGGTCTCTCTCCGGTCTCTCTCTGGTCTCTCTCTGGTCTCTCTCCGGTCTCTCTCTGGTCTCTCTCTGGTCTCTCTCTGGTCTCTCTCTCTGGTCTCGCTCTGGTCTCTCTCCGGTCTCTCTCTGGTCTCTCTCTGGTCTCTCTCCGGTCTCTCTCTGGTCTCTCTCTGGTCATCTTGTGTTTGATGAATTGGTCAATGGCTGCTGAGTAGACTATTTTATTAGTATTTTTTAATTGTGTCAATCACACACATGTCATGAATGTTATCACTGTGTATGAAGTGAATGAATTATGACATGTGTCCCAAAAACCACTGCATTATTATTATTATTATTATAAACTTTCCCTTCTCCCATAAAAAAGTGTGGGAGTGAGAATCCAAGACACCAAAACTAAATCTCTTCTCATTCACTCGTTTAGGTCATAAATTAATGATGAAGACCCGATCCTGCGAATTATTGAAAATTTACGATTCTGAAATACTGTTTTTTTACGTTCCTCCAAATTACACAGCATACACCTGAATGCAGCAGAGCGTGGAAGAAGCTGGAACACCGACCCGGCCTCATAATGAATGCTCTGTTAAAGTGAAAGTGTGGCCTGTGAACCTGCCGTTATCACCGACAGATAACAATAATAACTTCTGTTTCTACTGTATTTGACAGTTTCCAGAACACCTCCAGCTTTTTATGAATCATCCCGACTTAAAGTCTGAAGCCCATAATCTTTCACATCTATGTTCACCTGAAAACAGAGCCGGCCGTTCTGCAGTAGAAAGTACAGTAAATATCATCACAATAGAGAGATGTTTGAATAATATACCGCAATTCCAGACTCTAAGCCACGTTTTTATCCCCCAACACTTTCAAGGGTGTGGCTTATACTATGGTGCGGCTAATACTATGGTGCAGCTAATACTATGGTGCAGCTAATACTATGGTGCAGCTAATACTATGGTGCAGCTAATACTATGGTGCGGCTTTTACTAAGGAGCGGCTTATACTATGGTGCGGCTTATACTATGGTGCGGCTTATACTATGGTGCGGCTTATACTAAGGTGCGGCTTATACTATGGTGCAGCTAATACTATGGTGCAGCTAATACTATGGCGCGGCTTTTAATAAGGAGCGGCTTATACTAAGTTGCGGCTTATACTAAGTTGCTACTTTAACTAAGGTGCGGCTTATACTATAGTGCGTTTTATACTACAGTACAGCTTATACTATGGTGCAGTTCATACCTTCGCGTGGCTTATACAATGGCGCAGTTTATACTATGGTGCGGCTAATACTATGGTGCGGCTTATACTACGGTGAAAGTTTTTGAGCTACACTTTTCAATATTAAAAAGTGGGATATGTGCGGCTTATAATAAGGTGCGGCTTATTGTCCGGAAAATACTCAATTTCATCCATATTAATAACCACATGAGCAAAATCTGCCGGAATCATGACATGAAGTTATCTATCTAAAAAAAAATAAAAAAAATTATTGTCGTTCATTTTAATTGTTTATATTAATTTAATTCTAATTTGCATATTAATAAACTGCAAATAAAGTTATCCATCTCCATCCACTGTGGACTGGACCAGTGGATTTTGGTGTTTTTTTCATTCCCAGTTCCAGTTTTACTACTTCCTGGACAATGGCAATAAAACTACAGCTACAACACACATTCTTCTAAGTATTTTAAAATGACAGTTATGAAAACCCCTGTTGTAACTGGAAATTGTAACTAAAAAGATTAAACCAGAGGAGTATGAAAAATGGATCTTTTGTGTACAAAGGTTCTCGACCCCGGATCTAAACCGTTGAATCTCGGGTGAATGATCGGCAGATTTGATTCTTACAAATGAATGAACCGACGTGAACCGGTTTCAAAGTCCAGGACTAGACTTTACTTAAGACCTACACATTAACAACCACACACACTTTACAATCCTCTAACAGCCTGGAACCAGGAAGTAGCATCACATTAGTCCCGGTCTCAGGTCTCTGCTTCCTGTGGCTCAGAGACTAGGCTTTAAAACGGCACTAAAGTCTCTCCATGGGCATCGAACCAAAGAACATCTGTGACATGTTAGTACCATATGAACCAACTCTGAGAAGCACAGGGATTGAACTCCAGCTGGGACTCTGAGGAGCACAGGGACTGGCCTCTTTCTGGGACTCTGAGCAGCACAGGGACTGGCCTCTTTTTGGGACTCTGAGGAGCACAGGGACCGGCCTCTTTTTGGGACTCTGAGGAGCACAGGGACTGGACTCCTGCTGGGACTCTGAGGAGCACAGGGACTGGACTCCTGCTGGGACTCTGAGGAGCACAGGGACTGGCCTCTTTTTGGGACTCTGAGGAGCACAGGGACTGGCCTCCTGCTGGGACTCTGAGGAGCACAGGGACTGGCCTCCTGCTGGTCCCAGAGTCAGAACTAAACATGGGGAGGCTGCATTTCAGATTCATGCTGCTAAAATCTGGAACTATCTTCCTGAAGATGTGAGACAGGCCTCCTCTCTGACAATGTTTAAATCCAGGTTAAAAACGGTTTTGTTTTGCTGCAACAACTTAGGGTTTTTATATTTTTAATGTGTTTAATTGTGCGACTGTTTCTACCTTTTATGAATTGTGTGATACAAATAAACTTGCCTTCTTGACCCTAGGATCAGCCTTGTGAACACAGCAGTCTCCTGAAGCTGTCAGACTGTACAATAAGTCACTAATGCACTAGGGAAAAACCTGCTGTTGCCGCTCTTTTGTTCATTACCACTTTTAAATTGTACATATTTATATCCTGCACAGACGAAAATTTTAACATTTAACATTTTGTCTTTTGCACAGTCTGAGTGATTCTGTCCGCGCCAAATCTGACATGTAAATTTCTCCAGTGTGAGATCAATAAAGTTTATCTTATCTGAATGTTTGCAGAGTTCACACAACAATACGACAAACATGGAAGCACTACAAAAACAGATCAATCAAAAACAATCAGGCTAAAATATAATATCTGATTTCTTACTCCAAGGAAACTCCAACTTGTCCTAAACATTCCAGACACACGCTTGTCGTCACTTAGACTAATAAAAAAACTTGTTGTCATTTACACTAATAAAAAAACTTGTTGTCACTTAGACTAATAAAAAAACTTGTTGTCATTTACACTAATAAAAAAAACTTGTTGTCATTTACACTAATAAAAAACGTGTTGTCACTTAAACTAATAAAAAAACTTGTTGTCACTTAAACTAATAAAAAAACTTGTTGTCACTTAAACTAATAAAAAAACTTGTTGTCACTTAAACTAATAAAAAAACTTGTTGTCACTTACACTAATAAAAAAACTTGTCACTTACACTAATAAAAAACAAAAGCGTAAACGGTTAACTGTTGTGGGTTTCTGCCTCTCACTCCACATAGAGATGGAGCCAGTACAGAAGGCGCATGACAGACCTACTGCACGTGTTTTTATAATGATAGGAGAAACCGTAGCACCCAGAGGAAACCTACGCAGACACGGGGATAACATGCAAACTCCACTCTAAAGTGTCAGTTCGGCCTACCTCTTGATGTCCTTGATCGGGCCACCATCCCAACTGTGCCTCTTCTTGCGAGAAAGGTAAAAACTACACAATCTCCTGTATTGTTGGGTTCACATCTCCTCTGCTAACTCCTGTATCGTTGCAGCGTCTGTACTGGGTTCACATCTCCTTTGCAAACTCCTGTATCGCCGGAGCGTGTGTTCTGGGTTCACATCTTCTCTGCAAACTCCTGTATTGCTGAAAAATCTATACTGGGTTCACATCTCCTCTGCAAACTCCTGTATCGCTGGAGCGTCTGAACTGGGTTAACATCTCCTCTGCAAACTCCTGTATCACTGCAGCGTCTGTACTGGGTTCACATCTCCTCTGCAAACTCCTGTCTCGTTGGAGCGTAGGTACTGGGTTCACATCTCCTCTGCGAACTCCTGTATCGCTGCAGCGTCTGTACTGGGTTCACATCTCCTCTGCTAACTCCTGTATCGTTGCAGCGTCTGTACTGGGTTCACATCTCCTTTGCAAACTCCTGTATCGCCGGAGCGTGTGTTCTGGGTTCACATCTTCTTTGCAAACTCCTGTATTGCTGAAAAATCTATACTGGGTTCACATCTCCTCTGCAAACTCCTGTATCGCTGGAGCGTCTGAACTGGGTTAACATCTCCTCTGCAAACTCCTGTATCACTGCAGCGTCTGTACTGGGTTCACATCTCCTCTGCAAACTCCTGTCTCGTTGGAGCGTAGGTACTGGGTTCACATCTCCTCTGCGAACTCCTGTATTGCTGCAGCGTCTGTACTGGGTTCACATCTCCTCTGCGAACTCCTGTATTGCTGCAGCGTCTGTACTGGGTTCACATCTCCTCTGCGAACTCCTGTATTGCTGCAGCGTCTGTTCTGGGTTCACATCTCCTCTGCAAACTCCTGTATCCGTGGAGCGTCTGTTCTGGGTTCACATCTCCTTTGCAAACTCCTGTATCGCTGCAGCGTCTGTTCTGGGTTCACATCTCCTCTGCAAACTCCTGTATCGCTGCAGCGTCTGTTCTGGGTTCACATCTCTTCTGCAAACTCCTGTATCCGTGGAGCGTCTGTTCTGGGTTCACATCTCCTTTGCAAACTCCTGTATCGCTGCAGCGTCTGTTCTGGGTTCACATCTCCTCTGCAAAATCCTGTATCGCTGCAGCGTCTGTTCTGGGTTCACATCTCCTCTGCAAACTCCTGTATCGCTGCAGCGTCTGTACTGGGTTCACATCTTCTCTGCAAACTCCTGTATCGCTGCAGCGTCTGTACTGGGTTCACATCTTCTCTGCAAACTCCTGTATCGCCGGAGCGTGTGTTCTGGGTTCACATCTTCCGGGAAGACGCTGCAGTGTGTGATGTGTGTCGGGAGGAATGCACCAGTGTTATCATTCACTCCGTTATGCAAGAGTGATTTGGTGGAAACCTTTGCCTGGTACAGTGCAGACCCAAGCCTCCTCCTGCTCCGGCCCCGCTCACAGGGAGAGGCCGATGTGGGCCAGAGGATCGTCTAATTACCCCGAGTGAATGGGAGGCGTCTGGGCCAGCACCGGGTTATCGCACACTCCTGCCCTCTTCCTTATTTCACTATTTTTAGTGCCGATGCTTGATTTCTCGGCAGGTCAGGAGGTGCATCATGGGAGATAACAGTGAGAGAAGCAACAATAAGGGATCAAATCAAAGTGCTCCAGCCTCACAGCAAGAAGGTCTATCTGTCTACCTACCCATGGATCTATAATAATAACTGGATACGGCATTACTAGCTTTTATTATACGGCTCCTCACAGCAGCAGGAGAACGCTCCATTGATTTGAATGTAATTTCAAAATGTTCTATCGGTCATTATTTTCTATAACGGACCTCTCAAAACAATAATGACCGCTGCCCTTTGGCAACGCACTCTCTGCTTGTCTTTCAAATGCGTGGATAACTCCGCAAGTAGTTCCGGCCACTCTGGAGCTCGCCACGCTCAATCAACACACTTAAATGTTAATCGGAGAATACTTATACATATACATTCTTCACACACGTGCACGGACATTTTCAGAAATTTCTGGTCTTGTCTTCAAGACAAAAATACTATTTCTCTACGTCAAAAAGCGATCGTGAAAAACCCGGAAGTCGTTCTGGCCGCTCAATAAACGCAAATGCCAATCAATCAACGCAATGAAATGTTAATCGGAGAGTAATTTATACATATCCAGTCTTAATACAAGTGCACGGAAGTTTTCAGAATTTTCCGTTTCAGTTTTCATGACAAAAACACTGATGTAATGCGAGAAAAGGCGATCCCGAAAAACCCGGAAGTAGATACCGGCACATTTTCGGACACATTTGCAGAGGATCGAATTATGGATTTAGGTTAAGTTTATGTTTGGGTCACTCACCGCTGATGTTCAGAATTCTTTGTTCAGTTTTCATGCAGTTCCAGAGAGTTCTAGTTTGGAAGTTGCCAGCCTAACTGTTGCACTAGCATAGCCACGGGAAAACCTTTGGGAACTATTTTATTTTCTGTCATTAAATAAACCTTTCGGCATTCCTAAAAGTGGACTGAAGTTTATGTTGTGTGTTCTGTTGGTATAAAGCCGTATAATACCCCCCCGCTGCGCGTCAGGGTCCGCTTCGCCCTGTCGGTACTTATTTTCCGATAATGACCTGCGTAATATACGTTATCCCTTACATAGCTGTCCCACCATCGGGCACAGGGGGCGCTGTGGTGCTGCAGACTAAGTTCACGTGGGCTACACAGCAAAATGAACTCAATGAAAACCAAAACAGCTCAACCTCAGCTGACAGAGAACCTGACAGAGAACCTACATCTTTCATGAAGATTGGATTTTGTGGGGATGTTAGTATTAGATAGCAATATGGCCTACGTGCAGGACTGTACAAGGACTCTACAAGGACTCCATGTTATGACTATGATGTGACTGTCTCTTTGTGACACGTATGTCTTTCGATGTGTGACGTGACAATGACTATATAAACTGTGTACTGCCTTTATTCTGTCTGAGAGAAAGAAACAGAGTAAACCAGTGGAACTTAAATAAACTTAAATAAACGTCCAGAGTTTGGCACACCACGATCCGTCTCTGTCTGCTTAATCCTAACAGATTTGGTGGAGAATGCGCGGCTCGGTGTGTGCCATTCTCTGGATTGTTTTGAGGGAGTTTTGCTCTGTTTCTTTTCCTCTGCGTGAGAGATCGGCATGCTGTGTCTGGGAGCGGAGATTCCAGCAGGCTGGAAGAGCTGTTCCTGGATGCTTCTTGTCGCTTCTGTCACTTTTGTTGTTTAAATTGAATTTTTCGACGCGGAAAAGATGTTGGTCGACCTCTCGAACAGTCCGGACAAAGAATTAAGGTAAGCAGACACCTTTTTTAATATGTAAAGTCTGCATAATTGGATACTAGCTAAATTTTGAGCTGTCCCGGAGGTCTGTCCAAATCTCTCTAAATCAAATTTTCTTTGTTATGTCTTTGTCACGTCTTTGTCATGTCTTATGTTGTAGAAAACAGGTTAGCTGTGTGGGTAACCAGTCCCTATAGGAAAAAGGAACCCCTGACGTATCGGGGTCCCTGTCCTTTGAAGTAGTCAGGACAGAGAGAAAAAGGAACCCCTGACGTATCGGGGTCCCTGCCTTTGGAGTAGCCGGGGCAGAGAGAAAAAGGAACCCCTGATGTATCGGGGTCCCTGCCTTTGGAGTAGCCGGGGCAGAGAGAAAAAGGAACCCCTGATGTATCGGGGTCCCTGCCTTTGGAGTAGCCGGGGCAGAGAATAGAGAATAGAGAATAGTTAGTGAAACCATGGTGTAAACATAAAAGCAATAAAAAGGGAAACGTGTTAAGGAGGCCTTTTGTCACAAAAAGTTTTGTAATTAACCAATTCCAGGCTTGATAAATGACAAAAGTAAAGAATCAACAATATTTCAGTGATCACGGTTTAAATTACATACAGAAAAAGGAGTTTTTGTTTTCGGCGTGAACAGAGTTCACCGGAGAATGCAGAGTTTTATCTAAAGTTGAGCTATGAGAGCTTTTGTGAGTTATTTACATTTTTTTGCCGAGTTTTATCTACAGTTAAGCTATGAGAGGGCTGTATCCAACAGTTGTTTTTGTTTTTTAGAAAGAGATTTTGAGTTTAAATTAGTTTGCTACCTCAATAAAATAGAAGCGTAAACGTTAAAGACAAGAGTGCCTTTTGTTACAAGTGTGGAAAGTGATCATTTCTAGACTTGGATGACAAAAGTATAAACTACAAGTTATATTTGCTTAACAAAGTAATCTTGAAAGTTATTCTTCTTTCTGTTTTAGCATTTCTTGCTAAAACACTACTTTCTGCCTGTGTGTGTGCGTGTCTGTGTGAAAGGAACCCCCCCCCCCGCCCTCCTGCTGCTGCTGCTGCTGCTGCTGCTCTGATTTAAAGGGGAGCTACTGCTTTTAGGAATTTGGCTTTTCATAGTTTTTATTCCGTTAAATTTGCGAAATTTGCCATTGAACATTGTGTTATGACACAGTTAAACGTTTTTAAACACCATTAGTGAATAAGTTTTGAATTAGTATGTTTTTGAAACCCAAAAATTAGTACAAAAGCTGTGCAATTCTTTTTAGATCTAACATATTTCTAGATTCCATTCTTTTTAAATCTGCTGCTTATTTCTTAACTTTTTGTGAGTTGTGTTTGTTTTTATGTTTTTATTTTAGTTACAAAAGCCGTTTTTCAAAACATTTAAATTAGAATCCGTGTTAAAAGTGATTAGAATGATTGATTTATAGAGTTTGTGTAAAAAAGAAAAGAGGGATTAGGAATAGAACAGGATAGCTGTAAAAGTATTATTATTAAGTTGAACTGTGACCCAATTTACAGTCTAAAAGCGGCGAGTTTTGTGAGTTTTGTTTTGTCTATAGCTCTGGCCTTGCAGCTGCTGCTCACTGCAGGGCGAGCAGAGTTTGATTACGTCCGTTAATTCAAAATGTTTTTAAAAGTTTATTGAGTGCATTTGAAGAATGCAGCAATTATCTTAAATTAGAATATATGCTTTAAATGTTCAAGTGTAAAAGGGAGATTTTTCATACAGTTTTAGTTGCGATTTGAGTAATAATAATAATTAATTCTATTTTATGGCGCATTTCAAGAAACCCAAGCAAGCCAAGATTAAAAACATCACACAGTACAGAAGTACAAAATAGAATACATTTTTTAAAGTTTAAAAAGTTTTTTTTTTAGATTTGAGTCTTGTTTTTTTATATTAAGAGTTTCTGGTTTTAAAAATGTCATCATTAGTAAGATAATAAGTAATCTTTTATTTACATAGCGCTTGGGAAAACCCAGAGCGCTCCAAAATTGTTTTGACTTCAGGGAGAAAAACAATCTCATTCGCATACTGATATCTATTGTTTTTTTAAATTGGCCGTCTCAAGGATTGTTTTTCAGACTCTGCCTCACTGTACGAGAGGTCACTGCTGGACACTGGACACCAAAGCCCACCCAGCCACAGGTCACAGATCAAAGAGCAAAGGGAAATGCCACCACCTTGCCCCTCCCCCCACTACAGAAGTAAGTGGGAGTGAGACCGGGGCCATGAAAGAGAGGTTTCTGGAGACGTGATGGTGGAGCATCAGGCAGAGACCTAGAGGCAGTTGAAAGTGTGTCCAGTTGGTTTGCATCACCACAGTGTGACCTTTGACACCTACAGGTGGTTCGAGGAGTCTGGAGACACAACCCCAAAATTCACATACACACACACACACACATACACACACATACACTCACACATTCACATTTACATATAGATACATGAAAAAGCAGAACATGAGAAAAAAGCATTTTAAAAGTTTACTCAAATGTAAACACATTTTTAATTGTCTATCACTTGAATCAGTATTTTTTGAGACCAGAAATGTTCATTTGAATTCTATATTGTCATGGACTTAATTGACCTCTGTCCTGACACTTTTGATTTGTTGATTTTGTACTGTGTGAAGTAATTACATTGATTAGAATTAGATCTGATAAAAACACAAATTAGAGAAGTAAATTGCGCTTGCTTTTTGTCTGAGGGACATTAGCAACAGCATGAAGAGAAATTGTGTTAAAGTAGAATCAAAGTGATTTAACCATAGAGAGTAACTATTGCATAACAAGCTGTGTACAGGAACTGAGACACTGCACCATTGACCAGAAGTGCGTCGCAAATGACCTGATGTGCTTCAAGTGAAAAGACTGTATCTGGAGATCCTGATGTGCATCTGGAGAGACCAAAACCATGGCTTGGACCCTACTGATGACCAAGATGACCTGACCTGATGACGACTGAGACTCACCCTCAGGGGACCCTGAGGACCTGAGGACCTGAGGACCTGAGGACCTGAGAGAGAAAACTGGGGAGTGATGTTTATATTTTTGAAATCATACATTGATGAGTGCTAAATGAGAGAGATACTCATGATTCTTCTTTTGTTTTTGTTTGTCCCTAGCTTCTGGACATCTGATGATCTATTGGACACAGCCATTTGCA